TGAAAACATTTGGTATGAGTCCTCAGATCCTCAAAAAATTATACAGCAGCACCATCGAGAGCATCCTGACTGGATGCATCACCGCCTGGTATGGCAACTGTTCCGCCTCCAACCGCAAGGCACTACAGAGGGTAGTGCGTACAGCCCAGTACATCACTGGGGCCAAGCTTCCTGCCATCCAGGACATCTATACCAGGCGGTGTCAGAGGAAGGCCCTCAAAATTGTCAAAGACTCCAGCCACCCTAGTCATAGACTGTTCTCTCTGCTACCGCACGGCAAGCGGTACCTGAGTGCCAAGTCTAGGTCCAAAAGACTTCTCAACAGCTTCTACCCCCAGGCCATAAGACTCCTGAACAGCTAATCATGGCTACCCAGACTATTTGCACTGCCCCCCCACCCCCACCCCCCACCACATATTTTTACGCTGCTGCTACTCTGTTAATTATTTATGCATAGTCACTTTAACTCTACCCACATGTACATATTACTTCAACTACCTCAACTAGCCGGTGCCCCCGCACATTGACTCTGCATCGGTACCCCCCTGTATATATAGCCTCCCTACTGTTATTTTATTTTACTTCTGCTATTTTTTTCTCAACACTTTTTTGTTGTTTAAAAAATAAATGCACTGTTGGTTAAGGGCTGTAAGTTAGCATTTCACTGTAATGTCTGCACCTGTTGTATTCGGCGCATGTGGCCAATAACATTTGATTTGATTTGAAATGTGATATTTCAGTTGTGGTTGGTTTGCTACATTTGCAAAAAAAATCTAAAACCCTGTTTTTGCTTTGTCATGATGGGGTATTGTGTGTAGATTGATGATGGGGAAAAAACAATTTAATCAATTTTAGAATAAGGCTGTAATGTAACTAAATGTGGAAAAAGTCAAGCGGTCTGAATACTTTCCGAAGGCACTGTATATATATAGTCGGATGTTTACATACACCTTAGCCAAATACATTTAAACTCAGTTTTTCACAATTCCTGACATTTAATCCTAGTATAAATTCCCTGTTTTAGGTCAGTTAGGATCACCACTTTATTTTAAGAATGTGAAATGTCAGAATAATAGTAGAGAGAATGATTTATTTCAACTTTTATTTCTTTCATCACATTTCCAGTGGGTTAGAAGTTTACATACACTCAATTAGTATTTGGTAGCATTGCCTTTAAATTGTTTAAATTGGGTCAAGCGTTTCGGGTAGCCTTCCACAAGCTTCCCACAATAAGTTGGGTGAATTTTGGCCCATTCCTCCTGACAGAGCTGGTGTAACTGAGTCAGGTTTGTAGGCCTCCTTGCTCTCAAACGCTTTTTCAGTTCTGCCCACAAATGTTCTATAGGCTTGAGGTCAGGGCTTTGTGATGGCCACTCCAACACCTTGACTTTGTTGTCCTTAAGCCATTTTGCCACAACTTTGGAAGTATGCTTGGGGTCATTGTCCATTTGGAAGACCAATTTGCGACCAAGCTTTAACTTCCTGAATGATGTCTTGAGATGTTGCTTCAATATATCCAAATAATTTTCCTTCCTCATGATGCCATCTATTTTGTGAAGTGCACCAGTCCCTCCTGTAGCAAAGCACCCCCACAGCATGAGGCTGCCACCCCCGTGCTTCACGGTTGGGATGGTGTCATTATGGCCAAACAGTTATATTTTTGTTTCATCAGACCAGAGGCCATTTCTCCAAAAAGTATGATCTTTGTCCCAATGTCCAGTTTCAAACCGTAGTCTGACTTTTTTATGGCAGTTTTGGAGCAGTGGCTTCTTCCTTGCTGAGCGGCCTTTCAGGTTATGTCGATATAGTATGAAAAATGTATGCACTCACTAACTGTAAGTCGCTCTGGATAAGAGCGTCTGCTAAATGACTAAAATGTAAATGTAAATATAGGACTTGTTTTACTGTGGATATAGATACTTTTGTACCTGTTTCCTCCAGCATCTTCACAAGGTCCTTTGCTGTTGTTCTGGGATTGATTTGCACTTTTCTAGGAGACAGAACGCGTCTCCTTCCTGTATGATGGCTGCGTGGTCCCATGGTGTTTATACTTGTGTACTATTGTTTGTACAGATGAACGTGTTACCTTCAGGCGTTTGGAAAGTGCTCTCAAGGATGAACCAGACTTGTGGAGGTCTACAAAAAAAATTCTGAGGTCTTGGCTGATTTCTTTTGATTTTCCCATGATGTCAAGCAAAGAGGCACTGAGTTTGAAAGTAGGCCTTGAAATACATCCACAGGTACACCTCAAATTGACTCAAATGATGTCAATTAGCCTACCAGAAGCTTATAAAGCCATGACATCATTTTCTGGAATTTCCCAAGCTGTTTAAAGGCACAGTCAACTCAGTGTATGTAAACTTCTGACCCACTGGAATTGTGATACAGTGAATTATAAGTGAAATAATCTGTCTCTTGGAAAAATTACTTGTGCCATGCACAAAGTAGATGTCCTAACCGACTTGTCAAAACTATAGTTTGTTAACAAGACATTTGTGGAGTGGTTGAAAAACGTGTTTTAATGACTCCAACCTAAGTGTATGTAAACTTCCGACTTCAACTGTATATATATATATATATATATATATATATATATATATATATATATAGAGAGAGAGAGAGAGAGATAGAGAGAGATATAGATATATAGATATATAGATACACTACCAGTCAAAAGTTTGGACACCTACTCATTCAAGTTTTGTAAAAATATTTGTAATATGTTTTACATTATAGAATAATAGTGAATATATCAAAACTATAAAATAACACTTATGGAATCATGTAGTAACCAGAAAAGTGTTAAACAAATCAAAATATATTTTATATTTGAGATTCTTCAAATAGCCACCCTTTGCCTTGATGACAGCGTTGCAGCGTCATTCTCTCAACCAGCTTCATGAGGTAGTCACCTGGAATGCATTTCAACTAACAGGTGTGCCTTCTTCAAAGTTAATTTGTGGAATTTATTTCATTCTTAATGCGTTTGAGCCAATCAGTTGTGTTGTGATAAGGTGGGGAGGTATACAGAAGATAGCCCTATTTGGTAAAAAACCAAGTCCATATTATGGCATGAACAGCTCAAAGAACTTTGAACGTTTCTTCATGTGCAGTCGCAAAAACCATCAAGCGCTATGATGAAACTGGCTCTCATGAGGACCGCCACAGGAATGGAAGACCCAGAGTTACCTCTGCTGCAGATGATACGTTCATTAAATTGCAGCCCAAATAAATGCTTCACCGAGTTCAAGTCACAGACACATCTCAACATCAACCTTTCAGAGGGGACTGTGTGAATCAGGCCTTCATGGTCGAATTGCTGCAAAGAAAACACTACTAAAGGATACCAATAAGAAGAAGAGATGTGCTTGTGCATAGAAACACGAGCAATGGACATTAGACCGGTAGAAATGTGTCCTTTGGTCTGGATTCCATATTGGAGATTTTTGGTTCCAAACGCCATGTCTTTGTGAGACGCGGTGTGGGTGAACGGATAATCTCAGCATGTGTTTTTCCCACCGTAAAGCATGGAGGAGGAGGTGTTATGGTGTGGGGGTGCTTTGTCTGTGATTTATTTAGAATTCAAGGCACACTTAACCAGCATGGCTACCAAAGCATTCTGCAGCGATAAGCCATTCAATCTGGTTTGGGCTTAGTGGGACTATCATTTGTTTTTCAACAGGACAATGTCACAACACACCTCCAGTGTAAGGGCTATTTTACCAAGAAGGAGAGTGATGGAGGGCTGCATTAGATGACCTGGCCTCCACAATCTTCCAACATCAATCCAATTGAGATGGTGTGGGATGAGTCGGACCGCAGAGTGAAGGAAAAGCAGCCAACAAATGCTCAGCATATGTGGGAACTCCTTCAAGACTGTTGGAAAAGCATACCAGGTGAATCTGGTTGAGAGAATGCCAATAGTGTGCAAAGCTGTCATCAAGGCAAGGGTGGATATTTGAAGAATCTCAAACATAAAATATATTTTGATTTCTTTAACACTTTTTTGGTTACTACATGATTCCATATGTGTTATTTCATAGTTTTGATGTCTTCAATATTATTCTACAATGTAGAAAATAGTAAAAATAAAGAAACCTCTTTAATCAGTAGGTGTGTCCAAACTTTTGACTGGTACTATATATATATATATATATAATACAAATGGTAGGCTGTATGTAGCCTATTAAAATATGTATGAAAACCTTCTCCCCACTTTGAGAACCACTGATCTAGCTCATCCGACCTGTGTTGATTGACAGTTTCCTGCTCCAATCAGAGGGCCGAGTGTGCGTTTCACTAGCCATTCTGGCCAGATCATTTCAAGTTATCAGTCTCAAGTCAAAGTCGAGTCCCGAGTCTTGCGGGTCCAAGTCCAAGTCAAGTCTCAAATTTGATTTTCTATCAAGTCGAGTCTCAAGTCATTAGATTTGTGACTTGAGTCAGACTCGAGTCCAAGTCATGTTTCTCGAGTCCACACCTCTGCTGATTGGTGATTATGGAACACATAGTTCATACACTCTGTCACTCTATTGGTTTATTTTTAAACACCAGTGACACTATCAGTTATTACGCTTTTAAATAACTGAAATAGTGTTGTTGTGAAATTGCAGCTAAAATTAGTCCCTATCGACTTGCCCTCTCCCCCTCTCATATCTGTAGTGCTGACTTCCTATATGTGTTATTTAATCCTATTTTTTATTTTATTTTTTCTCTGTCGGTTTGAATCTTATGTAATTGATGTTTAAAAATACAATTTCCAGCATTTTAAAATCAGATCACAGATACTGCAGTCTGTCACTAGATCACTGTATTACACCAACAGACCTAAACCAACAACAAAGAAACCACATTTACTGTTCGAAAGAAGTCTTCGAAACTACATCAAATCACATTTCATGGTGTTACTTTTAAAAAAGCCAAAGAGCTATTATTGTTGTCACATGGGAAGTTTAAACAAAGGACTTAAGACTTAAAAATCTGCTCTGGACAGATTGTGAATGGTCCAGGCTGGTGATTATTGTGGTTCACGTAGTGGTCAGCTTGTCCGTGCAGCATCTGGGCTTTTAACAGCTGGGTTGGTGTTCAGCCCAGGTAGCGTACTGGCACTGATGTGTTCTCAACCTCTCCTCCTCGGGGGGATAACAAAGGTTGAACACGGTAGCTACTGACAGCTGAGACTGCTTCATTCAGATATTACAATTTAGCTAACAGAGTGATGCACATTTTGAACAGAGTCCAATTTCCCATGTGAGTCCAGAGTTAATCCACACATTAGCATTCTGTGTTGGTGAAAAAGGTCTGTCTTATTATGATGAACTGAGGTTCTGTCCTAATGTCCTCACTACTGACTTCACTGTCCTCACGTACCACCTACTGTAGCATGAAGTGATGAATTAAGTAATGTACTGGATTTGCGTTCTTAGTGGCATGCTAGTATGGTTGTTGGAACATAGCCTTTTTGCCTAGATTTGACATGAAAATGGAGACCTGAGCATGCATTGTTAAGATTCAGGCTCACTGTTAGTAGTGGCTCCTATTCAAACAGATGAATGGCATAGAAGTATTGATTTCATTAAAGTGATTGACTATTTATTGGGGGGTTATCAGTCAATGTAGTATTGACTATGCAGAATTTTTCCTGATCCTTTATTTTTCCTGATTGATCTTATGGGATATATTGTGAAAAATAATTCATTGTTGAGATTTGATTGATGCATAATTCTGTACATTAATTAAAGTGAAATGCTGAATTCATTGGAGATTCACAGTTTGTTGAACCTCCATATCCCTCTCTCCCCACAGGTGTTGAGCTCCACCTGAGGATGGCAGGAGATTCTCGAGTCCACATGGACCACGACATGGAGATAGGAGTCACACCCACAGCGGTAAGAACATGTTTTCCATCCGCACACACAGTCCTCTCCCTTCCCCATTTGTCCTGTGTAACACTGCTGGGAGGTAGAGAGAGAGAGAGAGAGAGGGGGCAGAGCGAGGAATAGGGAAAGAAAGAGGGGGTAGTGAAAGATGGAAGTGTCTGGTGTAAGGGAAAAATATAAGGGGACAAGAGGGAACCATTGTGGATCATGAGTTTCCTATAAGAAGGGTGATCATGTGTGTGTGCCTGACTGTCTCTGCAGAAGAGGATGGATGGTTCAGCCCACTACCATGGAGAGGGAAAGAGAGGATGATTGTGAGAAAACGACTCACACGTCCTGATAATGAATGGCGAAATAGTCTAGGTTAATTGTCTTTATTTAATGTATTATTCTTAACCGAGTGTGGTGAGGCAAACCAATTGTGGAAAAACACCAGCACACAGCAACTGCTAATGAATTTGTTTATGGAGTATCCGCCCTTGGGACGTCATTGACTCTGGGCTGGCTGCACTACTGTAGCACTGTCTGTGATGGCTTCATCAATCACTCAATTAGGAATTTCTTTAACACTCTCAAATGGAAACAAATAGGTCCATTGTCTTTGATTTAGGACTGTACAGGTACAGATGTAGGATCTTCATTTGATCACCCTGTTGCAGGATAACTTGCAATGCAGGAATAAACTTTAAACTTGTAGTGTATTCAAGGTTTAAAAAGGCTTCTGAAGTTTGTAATTTCCACTTTGAAATTTACGAAAAATGTAGCAACCCCTAAAAAAAAATGTCCATTCTAATCCACATAATAATTCACATTTCCTGTTGCTGCAGGATTATTTTCCTACTGTAGAAAACTGGCTCAAATTAAAATCCTACTGTACAATTAAAGGCCTTGAGGAAACGTAAACTGATCTTGTTGTAGGGGATGGCTAAAAGCTACCTTCTCGTAAGGAAATAGAGACATTACATTTTGAAGTAACCCCTGCTTTCTCCCAAACACACGTCACAGGAGCCCAATGTCATTGAGTGACTAATTGCTGTATTGGTCAATGGGTGTTGTCTTTCACTTCACTGTCAAACCTCTCATTAACGTATAATCTAGAGAAAGATCAATAAAGCAACGTCTGATACCTGGAATACTCTCTTGTGTGTGTTTATAGAACTACAATGAAGAGTCCCTAACTAGAATTTCAAACAGTTGTCACGAATGTCGGTGGAATGCGGTAGGCCAGATTCAAGCGCAGGACACAGAATGAGATGAAGAACCACTTTACTGAGTAGTAAAGAAATACAAGCAAAACCCTCCAAACAACAAAGGAGGAGCAAAACCCGCTCACACTAATGACACTCGTACCATACAATAAACACCAAACAGTGGACGTGAACAGGTTAAATAGGCAGACAAACTAACATAATGGGGAACAGGTGTGCAACAACAGACAACAATCAAGTGAACATAGAAACATAACAGAGCGGCAGCAGCTAGTACTCCGGTGACGACGAACGCCGAAGCCTGCCCGAGCCAGAAGGAAGGGCAGTCTCGGCAGAATCCGTGACAACAGTAGCTATGTTTCCATTAACTTGTCCAGTGGGATGGTTCTGATGAATTTCTCTCAACAAGGAGGGATCGAGGATATCCCTCCTAGGAACCCAGCACCGCTCCTCCGGACCGTACCCCTCCCACTCCACGAGATACTGCAGGCCCCCCACCCGACGCCTCAAATCCAGGATGGAACGGACCGAGTACGCCGGTACCCCCTCGATGTCCAGTGGGGGCAGAGGAACCTCCCGGATCTCAGATTCCTGGAGTGGACCAGCTACCACCGGCCTGAGGAGAGACACATGGAACGAGGGGTTAATACGATAATTAACAGGAAGTTGTAACCTATAACATACCTCGTTCAATCTCCTCAGGACTTTAAATGGGCCCACAAACCGCCTACCCAACTTCCGATAGGGCAGGCGAAGGGGCAGGTTTTGGGTCGAGAGCCAGACCCGGTCCCCCGGTGCATACACCGGAGCTTCACTGCCGTAGCGGTCGGCGCTCGCCTTCTGACGCCTGCTGGCCCGCTGCAGGCGTTCATGTGTAGCGTCCCAGGTCTCCTGTGAGCGCCGAACCCACTCGTCCACCGCAGGTACCTCGATCTGGCTCTGATGCCAAGGTGCCAGGGCCGGCTGATAACCTAACACACACTGGAATGGTGTGAGGTCAGTTGAGGAGTGGCGGTTGGAGTTTATAGCCATCTCTGCCCAGGGTAGGAAAACCGACTACTCCCCTCGCCAGTCCTGGCAATACGACCGCAGAAACATACCCACCTCCTGGTTAATTCTCTCCACCTGCCCGTTACTCTCGGGGTGAAAACCTGAGGTAAGACTAACCGAGATCCCCAACCGTTCCATGAACGCCCTCCACACCCTTGAGGTGAACTGGGGACCCTGATCAGACACTATATCCTCAGGCACCCCGTAGTGCCGGAAGACATGTGTAAACAGGGCATCGGCAGTTTGTAGGGCCGTAGGGAGTCCGGACAGAGGAAGGAGGCGACAGGACTTAGAAAACTGATCCACAACGAATAGGATGGTTGTGTTCCCCCTTGAGGGAGGAAGATCAGTCATAAAATCCACCGATAGGTGGGACCAGGGTCGTTGTGGAACGGGTAGGGGTTGTAATTTCCCTCTAGGCAGGTGTCTAGGAGCCTTACACTGGGCGCATACAGAGCAGGAGGAAACATAAACCCTCACGTCCTTGGCTAAGGTGGGCCACCAGTACTTCCCACTAAGACAGGTCACTGTCCGACCGATGCCAGGATGACGTGTGAGCCCAATAGAGCAAACGATCGCGGACCTCTAGCGGTACATACTTACGACCCTCTGGACACTGGGGAGGAGAGGGTTCGCTACGTAACGCCCGCGTCAACCTCCCACACCACCGGTGCAACCAGACACGACACCGGAAGTATGGGAGTGGGCTCCACGGAACTCTCCTCCATGTCATACAGTCGGGACAGAGCACCTGCCTTAGCATTCTGGGAGCCCGGCCTGTAAGAAAGGGTGAAAACAAAACGGATTAGAAACATGGACCACCTTGCCTGGCGAGGGTTTAACCTCTTCGCCGCTCAGATGTACTCCAGATTGCGGTGGTCAGTCAAAATGAGAAAAGGGTGTTTAGCCCCCTCAAGCCAATGTCTCCACGCCTTCAGGGCTTTGACCACCGCCAACAACTCCCGGTCCCCCACATCATAGTTGCGCTCTGCCGGGCTGAGCTTCTTCAAAAAGAAAGCACAGGGGCGGAGCTTGGGTGACGTGCAGCTCCTTCAGGTGACTAAAAGCCCTGTCCGCCTCAGCTGACCACCGCAGACGCACCGGTCCCCCCTTCAGCAACGAGGTAATGGAAGCCGCTACCTGACCAAAGCCCCGGATAAACCTCCGGTAGTAGTTGGCAACCCCAAGAAAGGCTGCATCTCCTTTACCGTGGTTGGAGTCGCCCAATTATGCACGGCCAAAACGCAGTCACTCTCCATCTTCACCCCAGACGCGGACATGTGGTACCCTAGGAAGGAGATGGACTCCTGAAAGAACAAGCATTTCTCTGCCTTAGCATACAGGTCATGCTCTAACAGTCTTTCAAGCACTTTACGCACCAGGGACACATGCTCGGCCCTTGTAGTGGAGTATATAAGTATGTCATCAATATACACCACTACCCCTTGTCCATGCAGGTCCCTGAAAATCTCATCCACTAATGATTGGAAGACTGATGGAGCATTCATTAACCCGTATGGCATGACAAGATACTCATAATGTCCAGAGGTGGTACTAAATGCCATCTTCCACTCATCTCCCTCCCGGATACGCACTAGGTTGTACGCGCTCCTGAGATTCAATTTTGTGAAGAAGCGTGCCCCGTGCAATGATTCCGACATACTAGCTATCAGGGGTAATGGATAGCTGTACTTGATGGTAATCTGATTTAAGCCACGGTAATCAATGCACGGGCGTAAACCACCATCCTTCTTCACAAAAAATAAACTTGGGGAGTCAGGTGAAGTGGATGGCCGAATGTATCCCGGTCTTAGAGACTCGGTGACATATGTCTCCATAGCCGCACTCTCCTCCTGAGACAAAGGATACGTGACTCCGGGGAAGTGCAGCTCCTACCTGGAGATTTATCGCGCAATCCCCCGGACGATGAGGTGGTAATTTAGTCGCCCTCTTTTTACTGAAGGCGATAGCCAAATCGGCATACTCGGCAGGAATGTGCATAGTGGAAACCTGGTTTGGACTCTCCACCTTAGTTGCCCCCAAGGAAACTCCTACACACCTCCCTGAACACTGACCGGACCATCCCTTAAGAGCCCTCTGTTGCCATGAAATTGTGGGGTCATGAATGGTTAACCAGGGAAGACCCAACACCACAGGATACGCAGGAGAATCATATAGAGGCTAATCCTCTCCTCATGACCCCCCTGCGTCCTCATCAGAAGCGGGGTGGTGACCTCCCTGATTGTGCCTGACCCTAACGGGCGACTATCTAAGGCGTGCACAGGGAAAGGTTTATCAACAGACACAGTAGGAATCCCTAAACTACGAGCATACTGGCAATCAATAAAATTCCCAGCCGCGCCTGAATCTACTAGCGCCTTATGCTGGGAATGGGAGGAAACTTCTGGGAAAACAATATCTATACACACATTAGCAACAGGAGGCTCTGTGGGAGTCGGGTGCCTACTCACCTGAGATGGTCGACCAGTGCCCTGCCTCGACCTCCTGAGGACCCTCCCCAAGACCGACCAGCAGTGTGTCCTCTGCGGCCACAGTTGGTGCAGGGGATGGTCCCTCTGTCCATCTCCCTAACCGCAGCACCCCCAAGCTCCATGGGGGTAGACTGAGGTGCTGGGGGATGGAATGGACGGCCCCCGATCAGAACGTCCGCGGGCTGCCAATAGGTTATCCAACCTGATGGACATGTCCACCAATTGGTCCAGGGTGAGATCGGTGTCCCTGCAGGCCAGCTCCCGACGGACGTCCTCCCTTAAGCTGCAGTGATAATGGTCGATCAGGGCCCTCCAAAACAACAGAGGCGCAAAACCCACTCACAATAATGACACTCGTACCATACAATAAACACGCACACCAAACAGTGGACGTGAACAGGTTAAATAGGCAGACAAACTAACATAATGGGGAACAGGTGTGCAACAACAGACAACAATCAAGTGAACATAGAAACATATAACATAGAGCGGCAGCAGCTAGTATTCTGGTGACGACGAACGCCGAAGCCTGCCCGAGCCAGAAGGAAGGGCAGTCTCGGCAGAATCCGTGACAACAGTAGCTATGTTTCCATTAACTTGTGCAGTGATTTTTTCATAGAAAATAGATTAAATTGCCTGCTATGGTGCGTTTACATTTAACTATCGTGTGTGGATGAAAACAGCTGGCCGAAATGACATCACACCTAAAAAAAAAAAAAAACTACAGTATTGATTAAAAATGAAGTGGTTGATATATTTCCATGACCTATTTCGGCAAATTGCGGATTAATAAATTGGTGACAGCCTGTATGCCCTCCCACCTATCTGTTTTATGTCTCAGGTAGCCCACAAAAGCCAGCATGGATAGCCATATTCTAATAATTCTCGTGTCAACGTATCGCCACGGTCCGTGCCATGGTGAAACTTGCACTCATGTAGATCTGAAATAATTAGATGGTGAAAGTTGCATCCAGCCAACCAGAAAAGCAAGTCGAAGCAAATCAGCTATTCTTGAAATTCAGGACAAGGATCCTGCAAAGATTTAACAGGCAGTAGGCATTTAGAATTAAATATGAAGTGTAGCTTCATAGTTACGTGTTGACATCACGTGCCCCGCGTACCTTCAAAATTATTTGGCAATCATTTATTAGAAAAACACTGTTTCCATCATCATTTGTCGCAATACATAAAGTTTGACAAAATAAGAATCCACCCCTGTCGAATGGATACAAATGTTGTAGATCTTTACAAAATGTCTGTTTCCATTACGCGTCACAATTTTTTGTTGAATAAACCTGGGTCAATGGAAATCTGCCTACAGTATTTAGATCTATATTTAAATCATTTGCAGGACTATTGCATGTATTTTCAAGGGCATGTCTTTAATTTGAATTCCTTAAATTGAACATCGGGAGCCATTATTTCAGTTTTGGAGCTGGATCTGAATAATACTCAATACAGGTTGTAAAAAAAAAAAGACTAGATTGGCAGCCTCGGATGTAACGTTACTCTGGCGAGAGACTGAGCAGTGAACACAGGTGTCTGATTAGCACCCAGAGATTCAGAGGGCACAGGAGGGACAACACCACAACAGCAATACCACATTTCAACTAACAACTGAGCTTGTCATCTCCAACGATCAGGACACAGAGTGCCAATGTGCCCTTGGCCCGTGTGTGTGTGTGTGTGGGGTGGGGGGGGGGGGGGGGGGGGGGGGGGGGGGGGTACAGTGTGTGCCAGTGTCCCATAGGGGGTGAGGTACAGCACTAGGGACAGGGGAGGCGCAGCTGTGGAGACAGATCGCCTGGCTGGAGCCGGGCCAGCAGTGAGGAACGAAGACCCTGTACCCTTGTGTTCTCTCTCTCCTCTCTCCCACAGTCCTGGTGCACCATGTGCTTGGAGAGACACTCTCTCACACAATGTTATGGGAGCAGTTTTCAATTAGCCAGAGCATCGTATGAGGTCCTCACCCAGCACTGGTGCAGCAGAGACACAGTATATGTCGTATTTATTTACAGTTGGTCAACGAGGGTGGCAGTTGAAGGTGGTTGAGGATGAAATCAAAGCAATTACTCTCATATAACATGACAGTGTGACAGCACTGCAATGCACACATTGTAGCAACAAGTGTAATATGAGGATGTTTTACACATTGTAGCAACAAGGGTAATATGAGGACATTGCACATGAATAGAGGCAGATGTTTTTGCTGACCATTTGACCTGACCAGGAAAAACAATGGCCTCTAGCGATAGACTGTAACGAGAGCTCAGTATTTTTCCTGAACTGGTCACTCCTGGCTCCACACAGTGGCGCAGTGGTCTAAGGCACTGCATCGCAGTGCTAGCTGTGCTACTAGAGATCCTGGTTCGAATCCAGGCTCTGTCGTAGCCGGCCGCGACCGGGAGACCCATGGGGCGGCGCACAATTCGTCCAGGGTAGGGGAGGGAATGGCCGGCAGGGATGTAGCTCAGTTGGTAGAGCATGGCGTTTGCAACGCCAGGGTTGTGGGTTCGATTCCCACAGGGGGCCAGTATGAAAAAATAAAATAATAATAATGTATTCACTCACTAACTGTAAGTCGCTCTGGATAAGAGCGTCTGCTAAATGACTAAAATGTAAATGAACTACTGAAGACAATGATATTGTCACCAACGTCTCTGCGGAACTGTCTCTCTGTCTCTCCAGGTGCAAAAGCTTCCTAAACACATGCGGGAGGCCCAGATCTCCACTGAGCACACCCACCTCATCGCCGACCCCATCAAGAAGCCCCGGCAACGCTATGTGCAGAAAGACGGCAAGTGCAACGTTCACCACGGCAACGTGCAGGAGACCTACCGTTACCTTAGCGACCTGTTCACCACCCTGGTGGACCTGCGCTGGCGCTTCAGCCTCTTCATCTTCACTCTGGTCTACGTGGTCAACTGGCTGTTCTTCGGCCTGCTGTGGTACATCATCGCCCTGATCCGAGGGGACCTGTGGCACAGCGACGAGGAGGGCTGGACCCCCTGTGTTGAGAACCTCAACAGCTTCGTCTCGGCCTTCCTCTTCTCCATCGAGACGGAGACCACCATCGGCTACGGCTACCGCGTCATCACAGAGAAGTGCCCTGAGGGCATCATCCTGCTGCTGATCCAGGCCATCCTGGGCTCCATTGTCAATGCCATGATGGTGGGCTGCATGTTCGTGAAGATCTCCCAGCCCAAGAACCGCGCCGAGACGCTCATGTTCTCCCACAAGGCGGTGATCTCTGTGCGGGACAACAAGTTGTGTCTCATGTTCAGAGTCGGGGACCTGCGCAACTCCCACATCGTGGAGGCCTCCATCCGGGCCAAGCTGATCCGCTCACAGCAGACCAAGGAGGGGGAGTTCATTCCTCTCAACCAGACGGATATCAACATCGGCTTCGACACGGGAGACGACCGTCTCTTCCTGGTCTCCCCACTCATAATCTCCCATGAGATCAATGAGAAGAGCCCCTTCTGGGAGCTGTCCCAGGCGCAGATGGACAAGGAGGAGTTTGAGATTGTGGTCATCCTGGAGGGCATGGTCGAAGCTACAGGTACGTCCTCTTGAACCAAGGCTAATAGGTCACCAGAGTATAGGTTACCAGGTTAGTGGTCACCTGAGTGAAGTTCACTAGTGTATTGGTCCGCTAGCCCATATACCCTTCATGTACAGTCGTGGTCAAAAGTTTTGAGAATGACACAAGTATTGGTCTTCACAAAGTTCGCTGCTTCAGTGTTATAAGATATTTTTGTCAAATGTTACAATGGTATACTGAAGTATAATTACAAGCATTCCATAAGTGTCAAAGGCTTTTATTGACAATTACATTAAGTTTATGCAAAGAGTCAATATTTGCAGTGTTGACCCTTCTTTTTCAAGACCTCTGCAATCCACCCTGGCATGCTGTCAATTGACTTCTGGGCCACATCCTGACTGATGGCAGCCCCTTCTTGCATAATCGATGTCAGAATTTGTGGGTTTTTGTTTGCCCACCCGCCTCTAGAGGATCGACCACAAGTTCTCAATGGGATTAAGGTCTGCTGAGTTTCCTGGCCATGGACTCAAAATGTCGATGTTTTGTTCCCCGAGCCACTTAGTTATCACTTTTGCCTTATGGCAAGGTGCTCCATCATGCTGGAAAAGGCATTGGTCGTCACCAAACTTTTCTTGGATGGTTGGGCGAAGTTGCTCTCGGAGGATGTGTTGGTACCATTCTTTATTCATGGCTGTGTTCTTAGGCAAAAATGTGAGTGAGCCCACTCCCTTGGCTGAGAAGCAACCCCACACATGAATGGTCTCAGGATGCTTTACTGTTGGCATGACACAGGACTGATGGTAGCGCTCACCTTGTCTTCTCCGGACAAGGTGTTTTCTGGATGCCCCAATCAATCGGAAAGGGGATTCATCAGAGAAAATGACTTTACCCCAGTCCTCAGCAGTCCAATCCCTGTACCTTTTGCAGAATATCAGTCTGTCCCTGATGTTTTCCTGGAGAGAAGTGGCTTCTTTGCTGCCCTTCTTGACACCAGGCCATCCTCCAAAATCTTCGCCTCACTGTGCGTGCAGATGCACTCACACCTGCCTGCTGCCATTCCTGAGCAAGCTCTGCACTGGTGGTGCCCCAATCCCGCAGCTGAATCAACTTTAGGAGACGGTCCTGGCGCTTGCTGGACTGTCTTGGGCGCCCTGACGCCTTCTTCACAACAATTGAACCTCTCTCCTTGAAGTTCTTGATGATCCGATAAATGGTTGATTTAGGTGCAATCTTACTAGCAGCAAAATCCTTGCCTGTGAAGCCCTTTTTGTGCAAAGTAATGACGTGTTTCCTTGCAGGTAACCATGGTTAACAGAGGAAGAACAATGATTTCAAGCACCACCCTCCTTTTAAAGCTTCCAGTCTGTTATTCTAACTCAATCAGCATGACAGAGTGATCTCCAGCCTTGTCCTTGTCAACACTCTCACCTGTGTTAACGAGAGAATCACTGACATGATGGCAGCTGGTCCTTTTGTGGCAGGGCTGCAGTGGAAATGTTTTTTTGGGATTAAGTTCATTTTCATGGCAAAGAGGGACTTTGCAATTAATTGCAATTCATCTGATCACTCTTCATGACATTCTGGAGTAAATGTAAATTGACATCACCAAAACTGAGGCAGCAGACTTTGTGAACATGTGTATTTGTGTCATTCTCAAAACATTTGACCACGACTGTAGACCTGAAATAATTAGATAGGTATAAGCAATATAGTAGTAGTTCCACCTTGCCTTTTGATAGGATTGGGGGAATTGACCAATAATTTTGCATCTACACAAGTGCATAGGGGGTAAGGGGGTAAGCTGGGGGTTGTTTCTGGATAGGGCCTTGGTCAGTTCCATTTCAACTCTTGTCTGTTCAGTAAATCCATTGTGGTTCTTCATATTCATTGATAATTTCATATCTTTCATTCAACAAACGACAATTTCAAACGCATACAAACACAATTTCTAGAGTCACCATGTGGTATGGATCTGCATATACAGTAATACATATATTTACAACTCAGGTAAATATGGCTGTTATAGTTTCATATGAGACCATTATTTTTATTTTTTAATAAAGCTTTTTGAGAGCATCGTTTATTTCCTGTTACCATGACCATCTATGTAATTTTCCACAAAGACAAATTACCAAAAAAAGAACAGCGGCCAATGTCTTTATTTGGAAGGTTGTTGCAGGTAGGCAAATGTTTCCACATCCATACTGAGGCCCCCATCTCCCCTATGTTGGTGCATCAGGGAGGCCTCTTTGAGATGCAACCACCCTGGAGCGTTAGCTGCCCACACTGGTCTGTGTTTGGGGAGAGGTGGTGCAGTAATGAAAGCAACCGCTCCAGGGGGGTTGCTGACAGCACTGGCCTGACCAACGCATTCTCTTCTCTGGAAAGTTACCACCAAAAACACAGAACCACCTTTTTATACATGTCTGTAAAAAAGCCAGGAAAAGGTGATGAAACTTTTTTTTTCTTAACATTTAAATTCAAGCTGTAAAAAAACTCTCCCATGCCTAATTCAATTTGAATTAATTGCATTCACGAGATCCCCAGCTAGCTTCCTGGTAGCCTTGGAAGTCTTTGTATGCAATATTGATTGAGGAAATCTGCTTATTTATCACAGTAGCAGAGGGAATATAGACACTTGTACAGCCCTGGCCACACTCCACTGCTAATTCCTTATTTGCTTCTCCTAATATGTTCCTGTGGTGTATTAGTCCACTCAGGTAAACACTGTATGTGCAAGCCTTACGCATTGTGTATTGGCCTTTGTTGGAGGACAGATTATAATGCACTAATCTAAATACAATGCATTATACATGTCACTTGCTTACTTTATTCGGTAGGGTCATGTTTTTTCTTCATCCTAGTGAACATTAATGTTTTTAAAAAGAAAGGAGAACCAAGGCACTCTTCATGTAATTACAATGCCTTTATTTGTATGGCATGTTCAATGAAACAAATATTTTAAAACTCTGACACATTTCGGCAGCAGGGCCTTCGTCAGGGAGTACAAAGATACAATGATACAATTATTTCTGTGTGCACCTTGATGAAGGCCTAGCCCAAAGGCAGGCAGATGGCGATATTGAGTCGCTTCATCTTACAGTCCAAAGGGAACGTATGCAGCCTGCTATACACTCGTATCCCCGTGGACCGCAAAGGCGTCAATTTCCTCCTTAACTCGATTTAATGGTGAGAAGGTGGGGGGGAAAACGGGGGAAATATGCATACTTACTTCATGAATCACCATTTTCCACCACCATGCTAGAGTGGCTAAATGCTAGTCCCGGATGTTGCGTATCGCGTTCAGCCAATCAGGTTGCAGCAGTCTCTTGTTTACCCTGAATACTGTACGCAATGTCAGGAAGTAGCATTAGCCACCCTAGCATGTTGGTGGAAAATTGTTTAGTTTAGTCCGTTTGTAACATTACTTGTAGCTGTATAATCTGTTTGTTTGTGTTGTTGGTCTTGGCTAGCTTAATGATCCGGTCGGTAGCTAGCTAGCACTCACTCACGCACTCACTCACGTGGCTGCTAGCGCCTTCATGAAAAGGGACATGAGGGAAGCTCTACAATATTAGGTTTTTCTAAGTAGAGAGAACGCTCGGGAGCAGGCAATGTTGAAAAGTAATATTTAGACCTGTTGTACTTTTCTTAAATTTAGTTTTATAATTGACTAAAACAAGCAGACAACAAGAAAATCGTTTTTGAAAAAATTAACGTTTTAGCTGTGAACCAATTGGGTAACCTAGGTAACCACAGGTTGTTTTCCCCACAGGCGAACGGGGCCGCGACGTTCTACCTCTGGTGGCACAGCATTACATGATGGCATGGCTCTGTAAATCTGGTTTTGGTTTGGGTACCGTGAAGAAACCCATTGTGGCGTGTCTGGTGGGGTATGTCTGTTTAAAGTATATGCAGGTAGCCTAGCGGTTAAGAGGTTTGAGCCAGTAACCGAAAAGTTACTGGTTTGAATCCCTGAGCCGACTAGGTGAAAAATGTGTCGATGTGCCCTTGAAAAAGGCACTTAACCCCAATTGCTCCTGTCAGTTGCTCTGGATAAGAGTGTCTGCTAAATGACTAAAATGTATGTAAATAGATTATACAAGTGGTTAGGCATTTTTTAACATACAGCTGTTTCTCAAAAAGAGAAGTAGTCAATCTTTCCTCAACCAGGAAAGACTATCATGCATGTTGTTGATGTTAGTTTTGTGTGTGCAGTTAAGGACAAGGCATTTTGAACCAGCTGCAGCTTTGCTAGGTCTTTCTTTGTCGCACCTGACCATATTACCAGACAGTAATCAAGATGGACAAGACCAGAGCCTGAATAACTAGTACAGTTCATCTTTGTGTAAAAAACGCAGAACATCTTTTTATAACAGACATATCTCTCCCCATCTTATAAATGCAGTGACTACAAGAAAAACCCAGCAGCATAATTATGAATATTTTAATCGGTGGACAGAGGATTTTCAGTTTGCATTTTAACCTCCCCTGTTTTTAAAATACAGAAATCACCAACATCTAATTTTATCTGACACGTCTTTTCATGCATGTGAACATTTCTGCTCTAGTTCTTTTAGGATTTGTATTTATTTAATTTGTCTTTCCTTACCACCAGTAGTCAACCCTCACACTCACACCGTGCCTGATGCCTAGACTCAGGCATTAAATCGCATCGCCTTCCTCTTGACCAGTAAGAGCATGGCACACTGGACCGTGTCACATGGCAATCACTGATCATTGAGTAATTCTGACCCCTCCTCCACTATGTCATGATACTAAAGGGGTCTTTAGCAATCACAAACTTTTCTCACAGGAATTAACAGAAGGACCTCTCCCGACCTGGGAATTGTGGCCTTCAACCATTTTGCATTAAATGTTGTTCATCTGCAGGAGAGGAAATCCATGCTACAGGGATATGGTCGGCTCTTGCTAATGACATTGATTTTGTGGACTTTGTGTAAATTACAAAGTACTGCATCTGACGAATGGCCCAAGTGATCAGTCATCTTGGTATTGGCTATAAGCCAGA